GGTATATAAACTCTTCCCTCCTGCCCAGGAGTTGTCCTCTCTCCTCACCTTTTACCACACACACCAAATCAGAACCACTAAGCACAATACATTGAGGATAACTTATATATAAAAGTATCTGCTCAATAGTGCAAGGTTCAACAGGTGTACTTAAAAGAAAGGTCATCATTCACTTGAAAAGGTTTGGTCAACCTTCACCTCCAGGATCCCTTGACTGTGAAGACTCACCAAGGGTTAGAGACAAAGAACACCAATACAGGAAGGAGCAAAGAGCTGTCACCTTCAGCTGAAGCCTGTATTTTCTAGAGTTCGCTCTTACAGATAACTGTTTTGCCCATTTATAAGACAAGGCACTCTACCAAGGGAGGACCCTTGTGAATCAACTAGAGTCTTAAATCCTCTTATTAGAGGTCAACTAGCTGTAGTCTATACTTGGTGGTACCAAGTGAAGACTTGCCTGTTGCTCTTCCTGGGCTTGAAGCTAAATTCAACCTAACACTCAGCCTGAAATAGCCAAGTGGTTTGCCACAAAGAAGCATCCCCCTGACATACGTACTAGAACTTGGAAGCGTTTATATTTATCGGTAGGGTTTTTTTTTTTTTTTTGAGAAATTCAATACAATTCGTATGTTCTTCATCATGCATTCCCTCAGATGGTAGAATTTGGTGCAAGATTTTTGTAGGAGGAATTCAAAGATTATATTTTATTATTAGAGTAAGTAAATTGACTCAAAGGTTTTTTTTTTTTTCATCCTTGAATGCTCAGTTACAATGAATGTTGTTGGAATTTTTTTTTTTAAAAAAAAAAAATCCAACTGAGCATTGTGTACCAAGTTTTTACACATAGCTGATTATAATGTTTGCAGGATGAAGAGAGAGAGAGAGAGAGCGTGAATGATATAGCTTGGGAAGCAAGTTACCACGACAGCAAAAGATCTGAACCTATGAGAGTAAAATGAAGTAGTGTATTGTAGTATTACATCCGATTGGAAAATAAGCAGTAAAGAGAATAGCAAGTATAAAGAATTGTCTCGATTTTAAACTCACAGCAGAAAAAGCTGTCATACATCTTTTTTTTTTTTCTTCCTGGATAAAGTTGAAGCTGTTAAAAAGGTAAACTTTTTTTTTTAAAAAAAAAAATTGAACATGTACTGATCACTAGTGCTTGTTAATGTTGATTGCCATTTGTGACTTATATATATATATGTGTGTGATCTCGCAAACTGTAAGTTTTTCTTTAATAGATGGTGATGATTTGACTGCATCCACATCAAATGTACATACGAACATCAACTGGCTGACTGATGTTTGAGTCTTCTCCAATGACATTAATCCTTGCAAGCTTGTCACTTTTTCCAGAAAGATGAGTAGGCTTGGGGAAGATTACAGTCCATGATAATATGTGTAGTAGTATGTGTGCATATATATATCTAAATAAGAGGGACCTTTGAAACTGATTGAGCCAATGATCTGATTTTGGTGACCAGTCACATTCATATTTTTTTATTTGATACCAGATGAGTTTTGTTTTCACTTCAGAATCCAATTTCCTACCAAAGTGTTACCCATTAGCGAGGTAGTACCTTTTTTCTGGTATCTTTGGGTGAAGGGAAATCGTACAAGACGATTTGAGAGCTGAAGACGGATTGTGGTGTTCGGTTGTCTGGATTGAGAATAGAGACAGACAGGAGAAAAATAAATAAAGAGTCAGAATTGGACATGTTGGGATCTGATTTGTTTATGAAGTCCGTAGGAGAATAATTTAAGCAACTCATCAGAACTCAGTCCGAGTCTGAGATCTTGGTGGTGGGTTTGTTTCTGTCTTTCTTTCTTATTTTATTTTATTTTATTTACTTGATTAATTAAATGTGGTTCGGTGTTTCCACGTCTGGCCGGCCATTCTAAACTTCATCCCTCATTCGTTCGTTCGTTCGTTATTTTTAAAAAATATACTTCCTTACTTATGTACCTTCTTCGATGTTTGTTAACTGGTTGAGGTGCTGAACCAAACACTTCCCCTCCCTGCAGGTTCAACTCAACATGAAACGCCTCTTTCGCAAAAAGAGTTCGTGTTCGCACAGCCCACCGTTCTCTTACCCCACCACTGACACACCCTCTCCGACCGAGCGCAGTCAGTTGCCACCCTCACCACCCTCTGGCTACAACTCGAACGCTGCCTTGTCCGACCGTCACAAGGACCCACCGATAGGATTGCACCCTAGTCCTCATACATTCCTACACTCACGTGCACCTTCCAATCTGACGTCTGTCTCGTTCATACACATTCATCTTCTCACATACTCCTCACCTTCTTCGTGCTTTAGCCTCGGATCTCGTCGTTGATGAATTTGTTACCCCCTATCCCCACAGTTTCTCCGATTATATCACAATTCAAAAACAAGATCAAAACAAAGACGAGCCCGAAACAACGATGCTTTCAGAAAAAAAGAAACCCAGATTCCTGGCCCGCTTTCAATCCAAGAACCCAACCAAACAACCTCATCATCCAGCCACGAACGCTCAGGGCTCGTCTGAGATTGAACGATGTATTACTTGGTTCTGCGCACATGATGAACATACTGAAGATTGGGTCCACATTCTCGAATTCTGCGACCGGCTCTCGACCAGTGAAGTGGGTTGTAAAGAGGCTGTTCATGCGCTCCGGAAAGAACTCAAGCACGGCTCTCCTTCTGTCCAAGTTCGAGCTATCAGGGTCTGTCACACTCGATGAACTGTCAATGTCCGTATGCTCAGCTTGGAATTGATCCATGATGCCTTTTCCTCTTCCTACTCCTCAGCTTACCGTCATCTTGGTCCTTAATTCTTCAGATCGTCTGAGACGTAAGGCGCCTCACTCATACCTTTATAAATCAATACTCACATCTTACCTTGCTTTTGGTTCATGCCCAAAGTGCAGATCGCTTCAAAGAAATTCCTGGACACCGTCGAGGAGGTCTTCCATAAGGCTGCTAAAGATCCTCAACATAATCAACAGGTGGTCTGCGATATGATTAGTAAAGCATTCTCGGTGCTTGGATACGAATTCCAGGTTTGTGAATGAGCTCATGTCTCGTGGAATGGCTTCCCAGTACACAAACCTTCCTTCACTGACTCATTGGTTGTTTCTTGTCTTGACCTTTTTTTTTTAGCGAGATCGAGACCTGCAGGTATTCACACAACTCTACAACAAGATTAAACCCCCTGACGGACCTATGGGGTACGTATCTCTGTATTCGAGCTCCTCGAGGTCATATCACCCAATTTCTCATCCTACTTTCTCTGTCAGTGGCGCTCCGTTAGACGAGGACGACTTGACTTTTACCCCCGGTTCGGCACGGTCGGTTCGGGTCCCTGCTCCTCCAATCGCGGTTCAAACCCCATTGCCAGAACCAGTGCGCGACTTGAGAGCTGAGGCTGAAGTAGCTAGGGCTAACGCTAGGCTCTTAATCGAGGCCTTGGCTTACACCAACCCCGCCGAAATGGATTCTAACGAGCTCATTCAAGTGCGTAAACAGACGCCCCCAGCTCCCTCAGCCAGCGCTCGTACTCATGTTGCTTTCTTACCTACCAGGAGTTTCATTCAAAGTGTCTCCAGAACCAAAACCAACTGCTAGATGATATACCCTGGGCTACCGCTCAAGCCGAGCAAGCCCGTCTCCACGCCTCCAGCACACCTACCTTACCGAACACGAACCCATTTGCACCGCTCGTAAACGGGGCCGTTAGAGATGTGTGCAAGGAAGAAGAGCTCCTTGCGACCCTCCTTGCTGCTCACTCCGACCTCATCGACGCATTTAGACAGTACGATGAAATGGATCGTCTGGCACGAAGTGAACGGGAACTCCGAGAGGCGGAGGCTCGGTCAAAGGTTGACACGCGCGCACAGCTCGGTCACAGCCTACCAACGGACATGGGCGCTAGCAGCAGCTGCGTAGCTAAGCTTGCAATTCCACATGCGCCAGCTTCGCTCCCCCTGGCATCCCGAAACCCTTTCAATGAGTCGATCACACCCACAGAAGGATACGTGGTCGAGGACGGACCTGAACCCGAGCGCATCCTTGGTTCCACTGAACCCTTCTCTTCAACTCAGCCAGAGGATTGGCTGGGCTCAGAAGAGCCTCTGGTAGACGAGCCTGAAGCAATTGAAGTTTCCACCTCATCCTTTGTCCGTTCGGATTCACGTGTGGGTAGGAACACAGAAGACTCGATTTCAATACCCGACCGATCCGAACCGTCAGAAAAAGCGCTTGGGAAAATGCGACGGATCAGTGGGCTTCAACCTGATAATGGTGTTTTAAATACTGAGGAGCAAGCGGAATTAGAGAAGAGAAGGGAGGAAGTGGAGACTAAATTTAGGGAACGCTATAGGTTGTATCATCAGCAACAGGCCCAAGATGACCATTAACAATCTAGTCAGTAAGTAACCTTGCACCACACATCAGACTGTATTCTCACGAAGGGGGAAGGAAGTTCTGTTTCGTTCCATTTCTTTTCTTTATTTTTTACTTCCATTGTGTTACTAGTAGAGATATCTTTGTTGTATCTTTGATACTCTTTTTTTTTCTTTTTTAATATTGTATACAGTAAAATATTTTGCACTCGTTTGTTTTTGATTGACTTTTTTTTTTCTTCTTCTTCTTCTTTCGTTCTTTTTTTCAATTCTGATTTGGGTTGGTTAGTGATGGTGATGGTGATAGTAAAGCTTTATTGTTGAAACAAGAAGAAAGAGTTGATGAAAGTGAATTGTGAGATGAAGAAAGAAGAAGAAAAAAAAAAAAAAAAAAAAAAAAAAAAACTTTTTTTTTCTATAGCCCTGAAAATCCATCATCATCAAAGTACGTATAAAAAAAAGAATTTTCGATATACATTCCACAATTATATATATCTTAAAAAAAAAAAAAAATGTTCTCTTGAAAGTATTAAAAAAAAAAAGTATGAAATCAAAAGTTCTCATTTTCAACCAAAGTTGAAAAATATGATATAGACATATAAAAAAAGTTTGACCCGGACGTGATTTGAACACGCAGCCTTCCGATCGCCAACGGATCCGTAAGGATACAAGATCAGAACTGGAGTCGGACGCGCTACCATTGCGCCACCAAGTCTGACAATTCCTTCAGGCTTCATACAAAATTTGTTCACTCAGACGGTCGCACACAGGGGCATATCTGTCAGGGGGGAGCTTCTGTTAGGCTACCTCCTGGCTATCTAAAGGCAGAGCCAATGGTAATTGGCTACTTTTGGTTACCCACTAAGTCTACACTGGTTCACCCAAGTGAAGACTTCAGTTAGATGACCTCTAGAAAGAGGATTTGATATAACAAAAGAAGTCTTCTTTATAATACCTCAGGGTGATGTTCCCTGGAGGAAAACTTGACTTGTAGTTGGGCCAACAACTACCTGCAGAGTTTTTATCCTGAATGTAGTAGTGAAGGTTGTTAATCCTCCACTGGCTCCTTGGTCTATATTCTAGCTTTTTTATTTATTCTACTTCTTGGTGAGACTTCTGTTACACCAAGGCATCCTGGAAGGAGATAGCTGATCTCTTATAGGGGCGGAATTTTGATACTAACACCTATAGAGCTGTACACTATTGAGCAGATATGTTTCTTATAGAGCATATCCTCAATGTTGTGTAATTTCTCTGTTTAGGTGGTTGTGGTAAAAAGTTGGGGGGGAAAGTCCTCTTGCTGAGCTAGGAGGGAGGCTTTATATACCTTGAGGTTTGTTTATTCCCTTGCCTTTGGTCTTTTGGGCTGACCTGTGGTTCTCCCTATGTTAGTACTGGATTACCTGGTCAGCTTGTGGTTGGTTACACTTGTAACCAGACTTCATGTGGGCTCTTGTCATAAGTCTACTATGCTTATGACTCTTGAAACTGAGCCTGAGTTGGAGTTACTAGTGTTACATGTCTAAGTCTTATGTTACACTCTGATATTTATATGTAACACTTATATCACACTTGATTACTATGTGTAATACTTATATTACACTTGGTCACACTATGTAATACTTATATTACACCTGATTGCTATATGTAATACTTACATTACACTTGATTACTATATATACTTATGACCTTTACAGTCTGTGGGACTGCTGTGCAGTCCTCAGGGCTGACAATGTCATATGCATATATGTGTCACACATAGGGGCCTGTTGTCACACACATGTGTTTGACTATGTACCCAATTTCTCATCCAAGAGCTTGAAGCTACAAAAGCTGGTCCAATTCCTTGAGTGTTTTTTTTTTACCACCCTAAAATGTACTATCTAAAAAAAAAAAAAAAAAAAAAAA